GAACCCGTGTCCCCTGCATTGGCAGGCGGACTCTCAACCACTGCGCCACCAGGGAAGCCCCATTCCTTTTTTTGTCTCAAGTTTAAACTGGATTTGGGTTGGACTTTTGTTACTTGTAAAAAGAATCCTGAGAAATAGGGTCTATATGCATAAGAATCTCTGAAGAAAACTAAAGTCTCTACGAGCCTCTCTGCCTGCCCACTCCCCAGCCCCTGGGCTTTTGCAGGCCCCAGCTGCCTCTTGTGAACGCCTCGTCCGGCCACACTGTGCCCAACTGGCATCCGCTCTCACCTGAGCAGAGGCGAGTTGCTCTGATTCAGGGCCTTGAACGTGAGATAGCGCTCCGCGGCGCTCATCCGGGGCTTGTAGAAGCGCATCAGGCCTTCAAACTGCCTGTAGGAGACGCCGGCAGGCCCCTGCGGGAAGAGGGGAGACGGCCACGTGGAACACAGCGGGGGAAGCCATGCCAAATGCCCAGCATCACACGGGATCCCAGGGCGCCCTGTTCTCTTGTTCTCCCAAAGGCAGGACTCCTGGTTTTGGAAGCTGCCGGCCCGCCCACGCTTCGGGCAAGGGCTGGGGAGCAGGGAACAACCTCCCTCCCTGGCTCAGCCCCTGCCCCGCTACCCGCTGGTTGATGAGCAGGCGGTAGGCGTGCTGGATGGCGGTTCGCTTGTGTAGCAGCAAAGACTTGAACTTGTGTTTCTCGATGTCATTGAAGGTGTCAAATACCACGGCCAGAAGCTGTGAGGGAAGAGCAGAGACCTGGCTCCTGTGCCCGGCGGGGCCTCAAGGAACCAGGGAGTCATTCTCCAGCCTCCAGAGGGCGCTCTTCCAGCCACCCCAGAGAAAGGGGTTGAAAAGAGCCTCTCGCCTGCCCCAGGTGGTGTAGGAAGTTCATCTCCAAGACTCAGCAAAGGAAGGTCATTCATTGCCTCTTGTAAATTTCCCCTCTAAAGATTCAAGAAGACACTGCTATTACATTTTCCCCAGGTTTTTCTTCTCTCCGCCTGTAGCTCGTCCCTGGCTGGGCAGTTTTATAAGGGGAGAGAAGCAGCGAGGGGAACACACTGGGTTTTTTGCCCAATTCAGCTCCGTGTGATGGCCGGGGAGGCTGTGTGTCCATCCTGTACCCTCCCAACCTCAAAGCAGGAAGGAACATCGCTGTGCCGATGCTTCCTCTCCTGTCCCCTTGTTCCTTCTCCTGGTGAGTCTGCGTGGCTCCAGAAAGCAGGGGTGTGAGGTGGCCTGCACAAAAGGGCACAAGGTTCTGGAACTTTCTAATTCCAAATTTAGCAAGTGAACAACACAGTCTGCGTTATCAGAACGCGATGGGAGGCCAGGAGCAGAATTTGAAAGAACACTTTTTGGAAACACTTTCTTTTTCTTTCAAAAATATTTTGAGGGGAACTCTCTTGTCCTTTCCATCCCTTCTAACTGGTCCCCCATACTTCCTTTCAGATCAAGGGAGAGTTGGCATCTGTAAAGGGCCAGAGAGCAAATCTTTTAGGCTCTGCAGACCAGATAGTCTCTTAGAAACCACTCAACCCTGCAGCTGCAGCATGAATGCAGCCATGGATGATGTGCAAATGAATGGGCCAATAAAACTTTATTGACAACAACAGACGGTGGGCTGGGGCTTGGCCCTGATTACTGACCCATGCCCTATATTTTCACAGCTCTAAATATCTTTTAAAGCAAATCAGTTACACATAAACTATTTTTTAGATTCTAAACTAACAACAGTATAAAAGAGCTGTAAGATGTTCAAAGAAATATCTAACATACTTATTTTGGGTTTTGAGGAATTAAAAAAAGAAAATATTTTCCTTCTTAAGATGTCACACTTTTAGGAGATTTCACAGATCTACCCCAGAGAAAGTGTTTCCATTTCTGTACCGGGCCTGACTGTGGTGACTGGTGTGAGAATGCTCTTCAGAAGTATAAAAATAAATGCAAGACTTGATAAGGCCTCTTCCTGGTAATTCTGGCGTTGATGTGGGCTCAGCACCAGCCTGATGGCCCGGTCCGGGAGGCAATCTGCTGATGGCAGGACACTCCTGGTGGCCGGCCGAGCCTCTGCAAACACCTCCAAAGTTCTCAGTGTGCATGGGGACTTTATGTTCTCCCTAAAGGAATATGTTCCGTGTTCAATTTCCCAATGGTTCGTGATAAACGAGGTGGAAATACACAAGACATTCCTGGCATGTGGCTGCAGTAGGATGGAGTGGCTAGGAGCAGGGCTCTGGAATGAGACCAGCTCACCTGGCCACCCCGAGCTGTGCAGGCGCAGGCGAGTTAGCCTATCAGTCTGATCCTCAGTTTCCTCAACTATAAATTGAGAATAATAATAAGAATTCCAGGGTTTAAGTGTTAAATTATTTAACTCTCATCCGTAAAACACTTTGCACAGTGCCTGGCTAAGGCTTAATAAGTACCAGCTTTTATAGTTATTATATGTTTGCCACGAGAAGGAAAAGATCCCAGGGTAGCTTTGGTTTAAACCCTAGCACTGTCAGCAGCAGTGGCGGCAGGCTAGTTACTGCTGGTAACCAGCTGCACTTAAGTCCCGACAGGGAATCCCTAGCCACACCACACCTGACCACGGTCTGGGACCTCCTTCCCCAAAGTTCTGCCCTCGGAGGCCGAAAGCTGTCCCTACCTCATCCCCACAGTGCCCAGCAGAGTGTGGGCGAGGGCTGCCTCAGTGGAGCATGAGGCAAGGTCACTCACCAGGTTCATGATAAAGTACAGCTCGATGGAGAGGTACACGATGAAGAAGACGCAGGACCAGGGGTTCCGGGAGTAGGAGGGCATCATCACATCTGGGAAACTGTGTTTGCAGAGTGTTACCCGCAGGGCCCATGTCCGCCGGTCTCCGTCTTCTATAAGGACATCTCTTCTCCTGCCTTGCCGGCCCCCTCCCCGCTCCCCTACTCTTGGCTCACCAGGCCACTCCCATCCCTCACGGGGTCCCAAGAACCTGTCTGGGCCAAGATGTGGAATATTCTTGGCTGAAAAGAGAAGACCCCGGGCACTAGGAGAGGGCAGAAGCCAAAGCAGGGCCCAAACTTACTTGGCGGTGGTCAGAAGGACGAACAGACTGACAATGCTGTTCTCCAGGGTGCTGAAGTACTGAGGGGGACAGGAGAGGGGGCGTGGCCGCCAGGCCGAGGGCACACCCCACTGGGAACAGGCTGCCTGCGGTGGGCCGCCTCCAGAGCCCCGCCCTCCCCCTCCCTGCCCCGCCCACTCCTCCTTCCTCCCAGGGGATCCCTGAAGGATGGCAGAGGAACAGGCAAACATGGAGTCCAAGGCCTCCTCCTTCCTGGGCTCAATGCTTCCGGCGGCAGCAGACAACTGCCTTTGGGACCTGTCTCCACATATGCACAATTAGCTGAGCTCTCCTCCACTGCTCCGCTGCCAAAATGTGCCCGTGTTCCAAATCTGATCCTGAAAACACCCCTCTCAAGGACCCTAAGGACAGGGCAGGGGGTCCCCCTTGGCATTCAAGGAAGGAGACAGCTCAAATCTGGGTGACGGGGCACTTTCAGGTGCCAGAAGCAATGATGAGAAACCAAGCAGGGCATCCCTTCCTAATACAGCTAGGGGGTCAGTCCAGCCACCTCATCTGAGGGGAAAGGCCTCCCATACAGGAAGAAACAGACAAACATGTTGATTACTTACAGGGTCTGAAGGATTAGGGGAGAACAAGTAGAAACCTAGAAGAAGGTGGTGGGAAACAGATTGAAAAAAGGGTTAGAGCAGAAGAGTCCCAAACCCAGATGTCAGAAGGATTGGACAAATAAATGTGAACCAGTGCAGTAGGCAGAGGAAAAGCATAGGGAGTGGTGGGGACTGTGGCAGAGCACCAGATAACTGCTGCCATTCAGGAGGGTGACCCAAGTACCATCAAACGTATGATTAAAAAAGCCTGTATAGGGACTTCCCTGGTGGCGCAGTGGGTAAGACTCCATGCTCCCAATGCAGGGGGCTCGGGTGCGATCCCTGCTCAGGGAACTAGATCCCACATGCATGCGGCAACTAAGGAGCCCGCCTGCCGCAACTAAGACTTGGGGCAACCAAGTAAATAAATAAACTTAAAAAAAATAATAAATTTGTATAGTAAAAAAAAAAGCAGTACGTACAGCACGGTGACGATAGTTAATGATACCGTATTGTATATTTGAAAGCTGCTAGGAGAGTAGATCTTAAAAGTTCTCAGCAGAAGGAAAAGAAATCGTAACTCTGTATAGTGATGGATGTTAACTAACCTTATTACAATGATCACTTTGCAGTATATACATAGCAAAGCATTATGTTGTATACCTAAAACTAATACAGTGCTATATGTCAATTATATGTCGTTTTTTAAAAAACGGAAGTTTAAAAAAAGTTAAAAATTTTAAGGCTGAAAATCTGTATTTTCATGTAAAAAAAAACTAGTTTTAAAATGCTGGCTCAACACTTTCAGACCAAAGAAAACTTATCCATAGGCTGGATTTGGCACCCAGACCGCCGGTTTGCGATCTTTGGTTTTGAGAACATGACAGCCAAGCACAACTCCAAAGGGACCCTGTTGTTCCCCTGTAGCCAAATTAACACCATTAATTTTTTCCCTCTCAGAATGAGCTATTCCCCTGAGTCCTTGAAATCCTGAGTGGGAAAGGGAGTAACTCTGCCCTCAGGGGAAGTCAGCCCCCTTGGAACACAAAGGAAATTCTATTGAGAGTGGGGTGGAGGTGAGGTAAGTGGGAGTCAGTGGCTCAGGACAGAGCAGTCACGAGAACCCGGGGCTTTCAGCACTGGTGGGGGCCTTAGAGCCAGGGCTCTCTAGTTCCACTGTCTTTGCCACCTGAGTACTGGAGAAGGGACCTTGGGCTACCTCGCCGTGTTCTAAGACCTCCACGGTCTAAACCCTGTGTCTGAATGTGGCTGTCGCATCAATACTTGATCTTATCTGAAGAGGCAAGGCCTCCTCGGAGTTAGAAAGGCCATGACCTTGCTTTTACATCTAGTGAAGCTGAAGTGTGCAGACCCTAAGGTCCCAGGCACACGCTGTAGAGAAACCCTCCCCCGTGTGCGCCAGGAAACGCACGAGAATGTTCACTGCAGTGTGATCTGTGATAGTGAAAAGTGCCCACCAACAGAAGACGTGATAAATACATTTGGATATATTCACATATCAGATCACGACACTGTGGTGAAAATGAATGACCTACATCTACGTGCAGCAGCGTGAATAAAGGCCGGGGGTACCTCTGGGAGCCAAAGGGAATCGAGATCAGGAAAAGGGTACAAAGGTGGCTTCCATTTTTTTTTCCGATACTGCATTTCCTCAGTTGGGTGTTTATATCATTTTGAAAACCTTCCTGAATTTCTGAAACTGTCAAAGTACCTTTTTTTTTCTCAACTGTGAGTTTGCTTTCAGCAAGTGCCTGCATCCTGGGGCGCAGGAGAAACTCACCAAGGATGGCGAAAATGATCATGAAGAAAAGGAGCAGCGAGAGGATGTCCATGAAGGGCGGCAGGGACTGGAAGATCTGGCGCAGGTTGCTGGGGAGACAAATGGGGCCGGGGCGGTGAGGCGCAGCCGGGGACGGGCCAGGGCCCAGGGGGTGCTGGCTGGGACTCCTCGGTGGGGCACGTGCCTGTCGAGATGGGGGTCTGGTGCTCCCGACCCCCAGAACACTAAATCCCCTCTTGCCCTGGCTTGTGACATCATGCTTAGTGATTTCCTAGGCCTTCCTCTCAGTGGGTGACGGGGAAAGAACCAGGGCAGGTGTAGCACTTACTGAGCCCAGGCAGGCAAGTGCCTGCAACAGACGGAGACGGCAGGAGAAGGCCAGGTGCATGGCCTCGAGTGACAAGGTCAGCTTGCCTGGGATGTGGGAAGACATTTCAGGGCCACCCAGTCCTAGGACATTTGTCTCCGGTTTTAAGGACAGGCACCAAGCGTGAATGGCCAGCCCACTCTCATCCACAGTACCCCAGCCAAGAGGTTTTCCAGATGGATTCGCAAAACTCAGTTTGACCTTAGGCTAACGGCCTGGTTTGAGTTCAGTACCCCTAGTCCCAGGGGAGGTGTCAGGACAGCCTGCTGAGTCACGTGGACTCTGAGTTCCTGCTTTAGGCTGTGTTTGGGCAGGTACTGTGCGCAAAGAGAGGACCAGCCCCTGAGAAGCACAGGTAAGGCAGGAGAGAGCCCTGGACCCGGAGTCAGGAGACCTGAACTTCAGCA